GCCCAAGATCCTGAGAGGAGAATGGAGGAGAAGGGATTGCGGCGTGACCATCCCCCCTGGGGGGTGATTTCTCGCTTTCTGTCTCTATGTCTGCCTCTGTCTGTCTGGTGAGCGCACACGCCCTATAGCGAAAACCTCTCCAAAAAAAAAAATCTTAAAAAACCATACTGTCTCTGATGTTACAGAGTCACAAAAAAATTATACAAAATTATAAGGAATATTTTGAACATTATCTTTAAATTTTAGTATTTTGAAATTTTGAAAGCTGTTTATTAACTGTCAAGAACTATGGAGTATGAGCAAAAATTTTCTGATATGTAAAGTAAATGTGGAAAAATTTTTTAAATAAATTAAATGAAAAAAAAAAAGGATCCATTCAGTGTGCAAGGTAGTCCAGTTGACTTTAATGTAACAAAGATCAAAGAATGTAATTTATATGGTTTCAAAAATTATCTTTCATCGGGAACCAGCAGTTAGTGTAATGGCTATGTCGCTGGACTCCCACGTAGTCGACCGCGGTTCGTGTCCCGGACCCGGTGGCTTAAAACTCACGCCGGGCGCGTGTGCGTGCGTGCCCAAGATCCCGAGAGGAGAATGGAGGAGAAGGGATTGCGGCGTGACCATCCCCCCTGGGGGGTGATTTCTCGCTTTCTGTCTCTCTGTCTGTCGGGCGAGCGCACGCGCCCTACAGTGAAAACTCTCTCAAAAAAAAAAAAATTATCTTTCATCAAGTCTTGACATATCAAAGAAGTATTAAAGATCCAAAATTAATATAAAAAAGCTATAAAAAAACCTTTTTGATCTGCAAATTTATATGAGGTTAGACTTTCTTTATATATTTCAAACAAAGCAAGTGCAACAGGTGACACGAAGCTTAAGGCAACTAGATCCAACACGGATGACTGCACTGTTCCAGTCCCAGACCTGGTGGCTCAAAAAATATACTGGACATGTGCCCAAAATTCCAAGGGGCCAGAATCTGGCAAAGGCCTTCTTCCTCCTCCCCTTCTTCTTCTTCTTTTCTTCTTCTTCCTCTTCTTCTTCCTCTTCTTCCTCCTCTTCTTCCTCCCTTCTTCCTCCTCTTCTTCCTCCCTTCTTCCTCCTCTTCTTCCTCCTCCTTTTTCTTCTTCTTTTCTTCTTCTTCTTCTCTTCTTCTCTTTTTCTTCTTTTTTTTTTTCTAGAAGATTTTTTTGCTATAGGGCATGCACACTCACCAGAAAGACAAAAGACAGAGAGAGACAGAGAGACAGAAAGTGAGAAATCACATCCCCCCGCCCCCGCAGAGGGGGGATGGCCACACTGCAATCCCTTCTCTTCCATTCTCCTCTTGGGATCTTGGCATGAGCTTAAGTCACCGGGTCTAGGTCTCAGACCGTGGTTGACTACATAGTCCAGCAACATAGCCATTACTCCAACTGTTGGTCCTGGCAAAGGCCTTCTTGCTGCATCATCCCATGGCAGAATCCAGAAGGGAAAG